ATATATTCATTAAAATTCATAGTTATCTTCTTGTTATTACATTATAATATATACTTAACAATATTATATTAAAATAAAAAAATTGATAGATTGCGAAAACCACATGATCGCGTTAAACGTGCAACGTTTACGAATTATCATCATAGTTACAAATACGTGAAACTATAATAACACGCGTGTGCATAGATGCATAATAATAACATAGATGATACACATACATATAAAAAGATATATGGTAATAATAATAAAAATAAAAATAAAATTATAATAATAATAATAATAACAACAACAATAATAATAATAATAACAATAAGGAAAGCGTGCGGAATTCAACGAAGGCCAACTAGTGTGGCCAAAGCCGAGATTGAGATGCGAAAGAGCGCGTATGTACGAGCACGACCTTAAAGTATCTTGATACTTCCGTCAGCTAAGAGACGTCTAATCGTGAATAACAACCAACAAACAATATATTCTCTCCTAGAGTAGTTTTTTGCTCATGTTAAAAGACAGATCTTGTTTCTATTAGAAGAAGAATGAGGAGGGAGGAGGAGGTGGGTGGTACGCGTCCTCGAAAATTTAACGCGTACGAAAAATAAATGAAACATTGATTTTGTTTTTTTTTTAAATTATGCATCATACGTGTGCATGCAATAATAGTTGAAATAGTAATAATCGATTATTTATTCATTACGCGATAGTAATGATAATTCGATGTTGTAATCATTCGTATATTTGTGGTTTATTGTTATTATTAAAGAATATTCTTAATGATATTTTTAACGTGAGGTGGATTTAATTTTGTTTTTTTTTTTTTGTAGAAATCTATACGAATTCATTGGCAACTTAAATTTGTTGTCATGCAATCTTAAAGTAAATTCAAAACACATTTATATATGTAGTATATTTAAATCAAACCTTGGAAGTATAAACTTTAAAGCAATCTTAAAGTAATTATAATGCAAATTTTGTAATAATAACCTTGAAGTAATTATGAGGTAGCAAATTTGTAAAGGAATTCTGATGAAAACTGAAAACTTATTCGAATGATTGTAACATTAAATTGCTTGGAAGGTTCTTACGAATTTTGAGAAAAAATATAAATCAAATATATATATACATTAATTGGCATGAATTTTCAGAGCAACCCAATAGTATCAGTAGCAGTAATAATAGTAGTAGTTCATTGTAGTAAAAGTTTGTAATAGTAATAGCATTAGTAACTACTATAGTTGTTTTCGTTGTTGCGTTTCGATAGAGTGACTCCAAGTAAAGATCGCAAAAATCCCGTTACGTTGTTGTAAGATTCTGTAAACGTGAGTTTGTGTTTCGTATCGATGCTTACCGGAAAATCCTCGAACGTTCCCACGAAACGATTCCTGATTATACATCTTTTTAACTTGTCTTCAGTTTAATAGTGTTAGGGAGGGTCAGAATGAAATCGTTCGTATAATCAGTTTTCCTTTTTAGTAATATCAAATACTTAAAATACACGCACGTATGTATGATATGCGTGCGTGCGTGCATATGGGGGGGACACGTACTTGTATTTATTCTATATTTATCATTATACGTGCAAAATATCTATGCATGATATACATATGCATGATATATATATATATACATGAAAATGCATTACTAATATAATACGTGTAATACATTTAAATAAAAATTCTAACGCGATACATTTGTAATATTTAATAGGATTTCATTTGAAGAATTTGACTCTGTTATTATAATATATTACGTTGAAAGTATTTATTATTTCTTTTTTCTTGTTTATGAATATAAATATGTTTTACACGAGATATCGGGTAAACAATATACGTGCATATGAAGAGAATGAAAGAGAAAATAATAAGAAGAATAATTCTTTTTTAGCTTCTTTACGTCCTTTACCATCGAGTCTCGACCCAATTGCTAAGCAAAGCTAATACTTTTGCCTTTGAATATGCATTAGGCGCGTGCTCGAACAATGAGCAGGCTTAGTGCGCTCGCGCGTGCTATCGGTAAAGATCGCCGTAATTGCAACCAACTACAACAACTACAACAACGACAACGACAATCCTTGCGTTGCACTAAGCTTAACTTCATTGCGTTACGTTACTGCATTGCATTGCATTGCATTGCATTGCGTCGCGTTATGTTGCGTTGCGTTGCATTGGATTTTACGCAATACGCGTTTAAAGGTTTATCGAAGCCTTCGTAAAATATCAACAGAGAGAAAGAGAGAGAGAGAGAGAGAGAGAGAGAGAGGTGACTATGTAAAGCATGTTAGTGTTACGTGAGATTATAACATCGAACGAGTTTTTAATTGGACTAAGCGCGTGTCGAGTAGTTAAGTCAAACAAATTATTATTGCATACTTAGCACTAAAGGGGTGTGTCAAGTAACAAAAAAAAAAAAAGAGAAGAGAATAAGAAGTAAAACCATTCGTAATAAATTTGTTTCCGTTCGTATATTTATTTTTTATTAACAAGCGATGATGATGATGATGATGATAATAATGATGATGAGTGATTATTTGATAATGCTAAATAATAATTATTGTTTTCTTTGTTTCGTTTGTTGCAGACAAAAAAGAACAATCCGAATCACATAAAACGGCCAATGAATGCGTTCATGGTCTGGTCACAGATTGAACGTAGGAAGATTTGCGAGGTACAACCGGATATGCACAATGCGGAAATTAGTAAAAGACTTGGTAGACGTTGGAAAACATTGGACGAGGGGGAGAGGAGACCTTTCATCGAGGAGGCTGAAAGATTAAGGCAATTACACATGATGGAATATCCAGATTACAAATATCGGCCACGAAAAAAGACGAGTAAACCAGCGCCGTCACCAAAAACAAAAGAATCGTCGTCGTCGTCGTCGCCGTCTGGTAAAAAATCAAGGAAATCATCGAGCACCATATCCTCCTCGTCTTTGTCATCGTCATCAACGTCGAACAACAATTCCTCGTCGTCTTATTCGCCAGTTTCCCATTCAAAATCGCGACACGATTCTGAGAACAATGGTCAACAACAATCGTCGCCACCTTTGAAGAGGTTGCAGTCACATGCAACCACGAAGCCTGTATCAAGGTTGAAGGTCAAACTTGCATTGGATAAAAGGCCACCACTCGATTATACTCCAACTCCACCAATTGTCACAGCTAAAGTACCCAGCAGTCCGTCCTGCGATACCCCAGATTCACCTGAGTCTGCTAGTTTTTACGATGACAATTATCACGACAACAGTGGTTCAGCAGCGGCTAGTGGTAGTGGTGTAGCAGCAGGAATCGTCAGTGTTCGTGGTCGTGCTGGTAGTAGTGGTTTGTCAGTACCACCACCCCTACCACCAACCAGTTCGATTTTACCAAATAAAATCAAACAGGAGACATCATCTATGATGGATATGGATTACAAAACTACAGGAACGACGACGAATAATACGACGAAAAATACAACAACGGTTGTTACCAGTTACGGCAAGGACAGATTTCTCACATCCGTCAAAGGGGTCGAATCATTTTCTAACAATAATTCGTCCACAATTTCCACATCTTCCACCTCTTTAACGAACTGTGATGTAGACAGTCTCGGCAGGAGCAACAACAACCAATGCAGAGCATCGTCACCATCGTGCCACCTTGATCACCACCATACCTTTCCCATTAAAGAAGAACCATTCGATTCTACTTTGGCAACGGGAACCACGACGACGACGATTTGTGGTGGTACGAGTATTACCTGCAGCAACAGCAGCCCATCTTCCGCGAGTCCAACTTCTAATTTGGTAACGAATATCAAATTAGAGGAACACGCCAATGATCCAAGTTTAGCCGATCTATATTCCCTTACCGATTTATTACAAATACAACAGTCAGATTTCAAGATCGATATCGACATGGAAACCATTGCCACCGATCTCGACACGTTCGAAACTGCCAGCTCGAGCAGCGGATCCCATTTTGAATTCTCCTGCACGCCAGATGTCACCGATATGTTATCGAACATCGGCAACAGTACCGAATGGACGGAAAATTGCTTTTGAGTGAGTTCCTCCGACTACCTCACGATCGCATCGCGTCGTCGATCAATTAGTTTCTTATTTTTCTTCTATATTCCTTCCTTATCTCTCAAGTTCATTTATTTTTCCTAAATCTTTGCGTCAACCAACCGATCAATCAACCAACCAACCAACCAACTACCAACCGAGAAAACGACTCGATGATCTCGATTTCTTCAAACTACGAGTCTCCCCTCGGACACCTTTTTCTTCTATCTCCCCCCAATACCACCACCCCACACATCACCCTTCCTTTATTATTTTCCCATCATCAATAGAACCACCACTATAAAACTACGTTCCTTATCCTTTGAACCTTGTCATCGTTACGGTTTAAAGGGACACACGAAGACGGTTAAAGCTACAGCTAAACCAGCAACACAACAACCGCCAAGTTTTTACCAAACCATTTGATGATCAACTGGTTCTCATGCTTTCTCGGGGCCTTTGCTCGAAAAGAAGGAGAAAGAAGGGAAAAGCAAGGAGAAGTACATCAGGAGCCAGGAGGAGGAGGAAGAGGAGGTGGAGGAGGAGGATATACACGCCTTAAATCCGACCGGAAACGACCGTCGAGTGTGTTGTGTGTATGTGTGTATAGGGTGTCTAGAAAGAACAGGGCACCAGCTGTGTGTTATATACCACACCTCTCGTTTGGTCTCTTTCTCTCCTTCCGGGGTACCCCTTCGATTTATCCTAATTTTCTCTCAAACCCCAGGTCGTCCTCCTTCCCTCTTCCACCCCACCCCTCCCTCCCTCCTCTCTTGTTGTACTCTTTATTCGTGGAATTCTTCGTGTACCCTCGTCATGTTCGACCGACTTTAAACCCACGGTCAGCTGATCGCCAGCTGGTGCCTGGTGAATACTCGAATTCCTTCTTTTCAAGTCCATCGATGGAAAAACTTGATCGTGAGATTGAAAAAGAGGGAGAGAGAGAGAAAGAGAGAGAGAGAGAGAGATAAAAAGAGTGAGTGTGTAAAGATGAAAAATAAGATTTTATCTTTATATTATTCTTCCTCTCTTCTTTCTTTCTTTCTTTTTTTTTTCTTACTCTCTCGTAAATTAGATTTAACATCCGGTAACGTAGGTGGTGTGGTGGTGGTGGTGGTGGTAGTGATGGTGTTGTTGATATTTTTTCCCCTTTAACTTCTCTTTCTTCTTCTGTTTTCTTTTTTTATTTTTTATTAATTTTAATTATCTACCATCGTCATTATCATTATCATCATCACCATCATCATCATCATCTTTATTATTATTCGTCGACGCGGACGATCATCCAAACTGCCGTCACACACCATAAAAAATCCCCCTCACCTCTTTTATTTTTCCCCACCGCCACCACCCATTCCTTCTGTTTCGTTTAATCATCATCCACCATTTTTCTCACCGTCGTTGCTTTACTTTACTTTACTCTATATTTTCAATCGAGGATAAAACGTAATAATAATAATAATTATAATTAATTATCTGCTTCTATCGCGCAAGATAATAATTAAATATTTTCAACTTCGCGGACGCGTTAGCAAACTATGATTTTTCTATTTTCTACAGATCGCGATATTTTGTTCACATTTATATATATATATTTTTTTTGTTTCTTTCTTTCTTTATATTTTGTATATGTATTTGTAGCATATTAGCAAGTAAGCGAAATATGTTTTCTTTTTTTCTTTTTCCCATCCCCTTAATAGATAAACGATAAAGATAATTAATGATTATTATTATTACTATTATTAACTATTATTTTTATTATTATATTATATTATTATTTTTATTATATATTGCGGAGAGAGAAGAGTGGTTTTTGTCAGGAACCAAACCGAGATAATGAGCTTACACGATCCTCACGAGTACGCAGGATTTAGATGATTATTATAGTAATCGTCTCGTGGCAATGAGATAACCGAATTATGACGATAAAAATGATATAATATTCGTCCTTTTTACTTTTCGTTTATTGTGATTTATTTCTTTTTTTTTTATTATTTTTATTTTTCTTTCCTTTTTTAATCTTTATATTTTCAACTTAATAACTTTTTTTTTATATTAAAATGATTAAAAAAAAATTTTTTTATTGATTTTTTTTTGGTTTTCCTTTTTTTCTTTTATTGCAAATAATATTTATTTTCCCCCCTCTCCCCTCCCCCCACCTCAAGTTTCGCGATGATCGTGCTCTCGGATGGCCTGAAACTTCCGTTGTTTATATATATCTCTTTTTAAGATACAGATTTATAGATTTATATATATACATACACGTATATATATATATATTAATAAATGAAAAAAAGGTATATTATATAATTATATATATATATATATTTAGTAATATATTAACTCTTTTATTATACGTAGTGTGTATAAAACGTAAAAATTGAGAGAAAGAGAGAGAGAGAGAGGCCAATGATTTCTAATAATGTTCGGATGCTTAAAAAAATAAGCAAAACTTATATCGAACACTTGGTCAAATGTTTTCACACATCTTTTTATTCTTATATATTATTCATTTTATATTATTTACTATATTACGATTATTATTATTATTATTATTATTATATTATTAATATTATTATTAATATTTTATTTTATTCGAGTTAATTTTTATATATTCACGCGTTTTTGATGCACGCCGAAAGGGCAGCAACAACCAATAACAACAACAACAACAATAATAATAATAATAATAATAATAATAATAATAATAATATTATTATAATAATTTTAACAATCTGACACTCTCTCTCTCTCTTACTTACTTTCTTTCTCTCTCTCTTTTCTCCTTTCTCCTTCTCTCTTTTTCTTTCTATCTTATACCTTTTATCTTTAATTTGCTTTTTTTTTGTTTTTGTTTTTTTTAATTGTACTTTTTAATTTCTATGTTTTATTTTTTTGTTTTAAATTTGAATTAATTTTTTTTTAGATTGCCAATTCAATTATCTTGTTGTTTATTGCATGTTATTATCGTATGATTAATTATTCTTATCTTATATAATATCATAAACGATAATTCTTTTTTATCTTTTTTTGTATTCTAATAAATTTAACGTTTTTTTTTTTGCAAATTTTTATTTTCTTTTTTTATTTTTCGTTTATTACAGAGACAATTTTTCTATTTCTTCGTCTTCTCGATCTTTATCTCGTTTTCTATGGGGCTTTGTTTTTTTTTTTTTTTTGTAATTATTTATGTAATAATAATATATAAATGTCCTTATGGTTTCTTTTATCTTTCTATCTCTCTCTTTTTTTTTTTTATTTCATAAGGAAAAAATAGAGACACAGAAAAAAGAGAAAGAGAAAGAGAGAGAGAAAAAAGAAAATACGAAAAGTTTTTTTCTTAAAAATTTTGTTCGATTTCATATTCGATCGAATTTTTCTCCTATTTTCTTTTTTTTCTCTCTCCCTTCCCTTCCTCCCCCGTTAATTTTTCTTGTATAGTATTTTTTCTTTATTATTATTATTATTATTATTATTATTATATAATTCTTCCACGAGAATCGTCGCGCAGCGTGCATGTGTATTATATGTTAGAGATTTAATTA